GCAAAGATATGGTAAATAGCAGTGATAGTGAACCCTTTAGAACTCTCATTAATAAATAGCCCACTGTGGCACATGCACCACTTTTGGCCACCTCTGATATACAGTGTCAGCTTCTGACAGTGAAGGAGTATCTCACATCAGTGTTACTTCCCATAGTAATTATAAATTCCTGACAAAGTATAAGCAGTAACAAAACCATTTACTGCTACTAGGGAGCAACTAAAAACACAATTAAACTAATGCTGATTCGGCTTTTGAAAAAAGGAAACCACGCTGGTGCTGGTGAGAAGTAAATTTAAAAGACAAAATGGCTTTGACTTTGAGGGGACTCTCTACTCCACATGGGCAAGTAGCTAGTAAGACTCAAGCAGAAAACAGTAGTTTTATTGACATGAAGGATCAGGACCAAGTACGGGATTGTCATTACTAGGAATTGAGGAGGAGACCCCAGAAAGGACAGCGTCACGAAGAGGGGAGACCCAAAAATCAGCAAATAAACACCTCTTTAAGGCTTAACTGAAGCTTGAATTAAACATGTTTAGGGAAAGATTTCAAGAAGCTAAAGAAGAAAAAATAAAAGCTAGAAGACGAACAGAACTGAAAAGCAAATTCAGTAGCTTCCCTACTGCATATATATATATATATATTTCAGAATTTTAATCATTTCCCTCCCAAGTTACTGGAACTTGGCTAGAACCTTTGGTTTTCAACTAAAACCTCAGAATGACCATATTTTGGCACAAAGAATATATATTAGTAGTAGGGAAAAAAAATCTGAAATAGTCCTACCTTAATATAGCCTCCATATTATTGGATAGTAATTTACCTGCCTGCTAGAGCAAACTTCAACACTGTGTAGAGGAAGATGATAGAATGTAAAGCTTCTACAAAGCATTATTCATAATTTACAGTATGCCATCAGCAGTTACTAGCATGCAAAGAAACAAGTAAATGTGACCCAGTGAAAAATGTCTCAATATCAACAGACCTAGTGCTTACCTGGATATTAGTATTGACACATCTAGGCTTTAAAATCATCTTACAAAATCAAGGAAATTACATGAAAATACATGAAATGGCTGAGGAGATGGGAAATGTTAGAACTGATATGAAAACAGTAAAAAAAAATTGGAAATTTCAAGAACCAAAAACAAGGAGAAAAAAATATGTACAATTATGACAGATTTAACACAGCTCAATAATAAAAATATAATAAAAATTTGTAAAAGACAGGAATGGACACTTCCAAAAGGAAGTATATGAATGGCCAATAAGTTCTTGGCAAGATATTTAAACCCATTAGTTATTAGAAAGATGTAAATTAAATAATCCTTTATTACCATCAGAATTGATAAAATGAAAAAGGCTGACCAAGCTTAAGGAATGCCAAAATTTAAACACACATACATTGCTGGTGGTTATGTATAAAGTTGTATAATCAAATGGGAAAACCATGTTAGTTATTTACAAGGCATAATATGTATGGTACCTGCCTAGAAATTTCATTCTAACTTATTGGCACAAGGAAATGAAAACGCAGTCACAAAAGAATTTGCACAGTGTACAGGTTTATTTTTTTTCCTTTTATTGAGTTTATTGGTACATTTAAGGTATAAAGTACAATTACATTCATTATTGGGATCATGTACCTTTACATGACAGGTCTTGGTTCTCATTTTTTTCCCCTTGTCCGTTCTCTCCCTTCACCCCTCCTCCTCTCCCCATTTACAAACACTTTATTTCCATTTTTTCATTTTGTCATATTTTTTCTTTTCCCTTAGTTCTTTTCCCCTACCCTTCCTATTTTCCCTACACCTTTAGCCCCTTTCTTCCTATTTCACATGGTCACTTATCTCATTAGGATCTTATGTACTATTCTAGTTTTTCACACCAGAGAAACTATTCAGTATTTACACTTGTGTGACCTATTTATTTCACTTAGGAGTATATCCTCAATATGTATCCATTTTCCTATGAATGAATCTAATTTCTCATTCTTTATGGCTGAGTAATATTCCATTTTATAGAAAAACCACATCTTCTTTATCCAGTTTCCAACTGATGGGCAAATGGGTTGTTTCCAAGTTTTAGCTATTACAAACTGTGCCGCTATTGTAATTATCACTTTACTTAGAAAAATGGTTCATAAAACTTTTCTTGAAACTTTAAAAACAAATTCAGAGAAATTAGGCCATGAATTGTTTCTGATAGTCTCAACCCTCTGCTTCCCAGGCCAAAATCCTACAATCAGAGGTGTATCTTTCCAGTAATACACATATATGTATACATGTATACATGACTATAAATAAAACTGTGATAGTACTATGTATACACTTATAAATCCGGCATTTTCACTTAGAAATATTTTCATGTATAGGGCTTTGTTTGCCAATAAAATTTGGTTTATTCTTTTTAATAACTAACTCATACTAGTCTCTACTATGGATAAACATTTATTTACTTAACAAATTGCCTGTGATGAACACTTGAGTAGTTCCAAGTTTTCACTATTATAGTCAACTGGGACACAAACACACACACAGACACACACACACACACATATTATATATATATATATATATATATTTTGCATGTGTGTTAATATTTAATAATTTAATTAGTACATGTTTGTGATACATAATGGATACATTCATCCTGGGGAATTGGCATCTCCACATATCACATCATAATCCTTTAACATCTACTCCCTCTCCCTTCCCTTTTCTCTTTTCTTCCTCCATCTCTAGATCCTCTTCTTATTTGCAAAAGGTCTACCTTCCTGTTTCCTATCATCTATCTTTATTTTCCTCTTTAAATTACTTATACTTTGAGTTTCTCAGACAAGAGAAATCATGTGATATTTAGGTGTGTATGTCTGATTTATTTCATAAGCATTATGGTCTTAAGGCACATCGTATAATGCATTTTAAAAAATTAAATTGCTGATTGAAAAAATTCAATTTTTTGTAAAATAAAAACTATTTTGAATATGTGTGTACACAGAGAATTCTCTCAAAATGTTAGAGAGTCCTCTGTATACTAGAGGGAATAATAGTTTTCATATTCTTCTTGCTTAAAAGATTATAAATATTTCTCATTTCAAAAAAGGAAAAGAGTTATTTCAAAATTTTATGTTAGGGCATTTAAAATAATAACCATCCATGCAGCACATAACATTAGATTAGACAGTATGCTAAATGCCTTCCATACACAGTATTATTAAAATCCAATGCACCGCTATGTGAGGTAGAATTGCTAGTGACTCTGGTTTATAAGGAGAACTAGAATGTATAACATCACATGGTTAGTAAAGAGAAGAGTCTGGATTTCAAACTAGATTCTGTGAAACACTGAAGACTAGAGTAGTTTGGAGTAAATGAATTCTGATTTACAAACTTTATAGATATGTACATTATATAGGAAAGCCCAGATTAACTTGTTTCCCTAGATTTGCTTAACCAAAAGTGATACCTGCAAGACAGTCTGTGGTAATAGAAGCCAATTTAGACAGTAGAGAAGTTATATTTCTCTGAGGGCCAGTGACTTGTCCAACACTGAACTTCTTCTGTACATAATAATGATAATTGGACAGTAGATTTAGCTCTGTGGTCCCACACCTGCCTCAAAAGCTCAAGGTTCTGAGTTTGATCCCCGGTACTGGAAAAAAAATGATTATATTGTTATGGATTGGGGAAGGAGGAGGAAGTATTCAGACTTCTAAAATCTGGCCTGTGTTTACATTCCGAATTCCGATTACACCTTCCTTCTTTCCCATTCCTTGGTTTGCAATTCTTCACTTCTTCTCTGTCTGTGGGATCTATTCAATGATAACCAAACACCCACATTCTCAGTTTCTTACATTATGTGCATATGGTCTTTTATCCTACGCCTGTGCACTCACCCCCAATTCAGTCACAAAATTTCTAATCTCTAGTGACATTAGACTTGTGTTTTCAAAGGTGATTTTCACTGTAAAAGTGAGTGGGTCTGCTGGATTTTTGTGAAGACCTAATTTACCCTTGCGTGTCATCTAGCTCCCAGCCAGATGCCCTGCAAAAATATGATCTTATTTCTGTTGTGCTTCTGTGGGCAAAAATTGTGAATATATTTGGTTTTTATTTGGGTAGCTTTGATTTTTCCAACTCACTTATGAGGTGACTACAAATCTTCCAGAGTGCCTTTCTTTCCTCTTGACCTCTCTTCTTCTATAACTTGAAATGTGTTGGTGCTAACACGTAAGAGCTCAGGAAAAATTGGAAACAAAGTCTTTGTAAATAGGGAAGGGTGAAGGGGGTAAAAGAAGGACAGGGGTATGGGGAAAAAACAAGAACAAAGACATATCATGTAAAGGTGCAAGATCACAATCATAAATGTAACTGTATTGTTTGCTTTAAATGTACCAATAATTAATGGGGGTAAAAAAAAAACAGAGAGAGCTCAGGAGAGACTGTTGTTAGAATTTCTTCCCAACCTTATGCTTAGTGATACTGAGTTTATAATATGAAATTAGATGTAAGGGGAGTATTTACATCAGTGAAAATGCAAAGTGCAACATATCTGGAACTCCCTCAGCCAAGAGAATTTGTTTAACATTTGCCAGCAATCACTCCTGTCATGCTTCTACTCCTGATTAGCACAGAAACCAAACACACACACGCACACACACACACACACACACACACACACACACACACACACACACGATTTGCACCATGGATTTTCTTCCATGGGGCTATGGAATTCCAGAAGGAACTGAATTCCTTTCCTTTTCTTGAGTTTTACATTTATTTTTTATTTTTTTATTTTTTTTCAGCTTTAATTGAGTTTATTGGTACATTTTAGGGATACAGTACAGTTACATTCATTGTTGGGATCATGTACCTCTACATGGCAAGTCTTGATTCTCATTTTTTCCCCTTACCTCTGCCCTCCCTTCACCCAAGTTTTACATTTATTTCCAAAAGGTCAAATATAGGCTAACTTTTCTCTTTCTCTCATAGTGGATGGCTGCATTCATAGAGCAGCTGGCCCCTGTTTGCTAGCTGAATGCCGTAACCTGAATGGCTGTGAGACTGGACATGCAAAAATCACGTGTGGCTATGACCTACCTGCAAAACGTGAGTGAAACTTTTTGGAACACTATTATAAATTTATATGAGAACTTTTACCTATGTAATTCCTTGAGCATAAAATTAGAAAATGAAATGATGGTGGTGATGTGTAATTAAATGTGCTTTTATTCAGATTATATATATATATATATATGTATATGTATATATATATATATACATACATATATATATATATATGCACACACACATATAATTGTAGTTGATTTTTTTATTCAGGCCTTTAATAGTGTCTGTGAAACATGGAAATGAAAATATGAGCAAAATATACATTATAGCATTTAAGTGCTGCAAGTGACAGCTTGTGCAAATGATGCCAATTTCTTATTCCTTCTTCAGGTTTCTTGATTGTGGATGTGTTTAGAGCAAAGCAGATCAAAGTGATGTATTGTGTTTTCAGCTGCCATGTAAAGGCTGATTGGCAATTACAGCCAAGGCATCTGTCACACTTTGCTCTAAGAAAAAGCCAGTGGAATGTGGTTGTCACTGTGAGAATGTATTTGCTCTTTGAATGCAGAATGGTCAAAATTTCCATTATATTTGAATAGAGAGAAGCATTGCATTTCATTGACCTTGTTGCTTAGTCGTTTAGCCAACTAGGATGGGTGGTGTAGAATAAAAATACTGAGAAAGAAACTGATTTGAAGTTCAGCTATTTTAATCACATAATCTTTAAGGGCCTTGGGATGGAAGCCGGGGCTTTCATTGTACCATTAATACATGCATTGACCCAGAAATTGAGATGCCAATCTATTGATTATTCCATTCACCTGCTTTTTATGATACTGTCCAGATCTTTGAATACATTTTATGTAAAAATAAAGTTAGTTTTTTTAAGAGATAAAAATGACTAAAAAATTTTTAATAAAACTTATAGGATACTGTTTGGATTCTGTATAGACAGATTGTCAGACTGAATTTCCCATGGCTATGTGTGAATGGAGAAATAGTGCTATATTCTAAAGGTTACTCTAAAAGTATGTTTAAATTTGTGGATTTTTAGTAAAAAATGACATTAAAATAGCATTTATTTTTATAAATATTATAATGCTGCATTCTATATTGCTTGCAAGAAATTGCAAGTGAAAATATGTCAACTGTATACTATTTAATTTTTCCTTTGATAACTTCTCTTATTTATTTGTTTGTGAATGTTTTTAACAAAGTAGTGAAAGAATCAAATCATGTGCCAAAAGGCCACCACTACTACTTGGAATATATATTTGTGTCAAATAAATCCTGGGTGGACAATGGTGTGTACAGCATTTCTCCTTCTGACTCTCACAGCTCACGATCTGCACGTTAAAGGCAATTTCCCTCTCCATAATTATATAGCCTCATGCTTACAAATGTTGGTCTTTTTTCCTTTCTAACACAGTGCTGTCTTTATGCTGCAGCCAGCCTGTACCTCAGAACAAGATTGACTGTTTTCAGATTTGCATCTATCCTTAAACCAAGTAATAATGCAGGCTCACATTGATTCAGTGCTTTCTTGTATATTAAAACACATTCACATTTCCAACTTTGAGCTAAATACAATTAATTCATCTAAAAAGATAGCTCTATCGTGTGGGTTGGCAATGTGATAAATTTTTTGGTGTATTTTCTGCCATCTGACATCCCTCAGAATACTTCCTTTGAATATCATTCATGTTATTTCAGAGTTATGGAAGATTTGCACAAAACCAGGCAGTGAAGTACAAAAATCAATAATCCAGTACGTGTGGTTGAGAGAGTCCCATGATTGATCACATCTTTGAACTAAAGTGTGGTATTCGTGTGCATCTTGGGGCAAGTAAGTCTTGTGGGACAAGTACGCTAGATGTAGAAAGTCTATCCCCAGGACTTGACTTGGAATCTATATGAGCTGAAATACTGAAGGCTGATACATATTCTATAGTCATGTAGCCCACAGGGCATGCTTAATAAAAACTCATCCAGCGGAACAGAAATTAGCAGACTCGCATAGCATTGCCAACTCATAAAAGTCACAAACACATACTATTTGAAAAACAGTCTTGGTATTTCTGTACCATATATTTTGAAATATTAATTGATATTAAAATCATAAAAGAAAGGAATAGGAAAGTGAACAGTAATAGCTTACCTTCATATGCCATTTTGCAGTATTTCACACTACTTTAATAAGTTCATATTTTAAATTATGTTTTATAAACATTGTGTGTATTCATTTTCCTTTTTCCTATCCTTGAGAGATGTTTCTTTTTTATCAATTTGATTCATCCATTTCAGAGTCATTAACAATCCACAGATGTGCTTTTGTAGTAAGAGAATAAAAAGGAAGCTCATTACATATTGTGTGGATCATTTCCCCCCTCTGTATTTAATAATTCTGTGACAGTTTGACAGAAAAGACTGGTTTCTGTCTGTCCTCTGAGACAGCAGGTTTAATATTATATGGATACTAAAGCTGGTCATCCAGCCACAACTGATGATACCTTCATATATCACCAATTTGTTTGGGAAATGCTATTGTCTGGGCTAGAGACAAACTTGGTCGGTCATTTTGGATGGGTCTTTCTTTTGCTTATGCTTGCTAAATAAATCTTTTTATAAGTGGTAGTATTTGAATTAATTATACTTCTAGTCTGTGCTCTGTGACTTATTGTGATTGGTGAAGTGATAAGCCCAGATACTCAGTTTATTCTTCACTGCTTGGAATATTTTGAATAATTTTTTTGAGGCAAATATATCTGATAATTTTTCTTTAAAAATTAAGTGGCAAGAATGTTAGTCAATATTTCATTAAAAGTTATTGGTAAGGAAATAGGGAGTGGACAAAGGTCTATTTATGTAATTGAATTTGAGGGTCCCTCTCCTAGACGTTTAGATATGTTTTGGATTCATAATAAAATCTCCACTACTGTAGCTTTTTAGAAGCTTGTCAACCTGTGAAATGTTTCTATTCATGCAGTCAGTATTCCACCAGAACAAAAATCAGCTTCATGCAACTGAGATTTGTCTGTCTTAGTCACAGTTCTAGTGTCATCGTCTAGCATAGGATCTCCTAAGTGTGTACTGAATTAATGTAAGTGAATGATCATATTAATGAATTATTTCAGAACCTTTTCCCTTGGAAAATAACCTTTTTTTTGGGGGGGGGTACTGGGGATCGAACTCAGGCCCTTGCGCTTGCCAGGCAGACGCCGGAACCACTGAGCCAAATCCTCTGCGGAAAATCGCTTTTTAACTACAGCCTCTTGTCTAATACTTTCCATGCTGCAGTCCCTTGTGCACAGTCCTAGTAAGATTAACCTACCTATATCCAGAGTCCTTCCACTTGCCCCCAAGGCTCTACCTGAGATGACCTCTTCCTTCCTGACATTATCTGCTTCTAGAGTCTCACTCACACAAGCTACTTTGCTGATTCTCAGTACTTTTGCACTCACATTTCTTTGCCTGGAATTCTGCTCTTCCAGACCCTCATTCAAATATGATCTCGTTATCAACTGGTGTGTTTATAATTCATTCTCTGCTTTATTTATATTATTTGTCTTTTGTTTGTTATCAGTCTCTCCATAACACAGTGGGGTAGAGACTTTTAGGTAATGTTTATTGCTGCATCTGTAAAGTTTGTAAGAATGTCTGACACATAATAGAGTCTTGAAAGATGTTTGTTAAGTAAATTAAAACGAACTCTAATCTTTTTAAGTTCCTCGGTGGCTTTTTCTTTAAACAGCCTTGTTAGTCTGATTGCTTTGTGCCTTCTCTGATGTTCTGCCATACCTGGAACTACTTAAACCTTTTGTATGATATGAATTTTTCAGTGGTACTGTATGTCTGCTTACGGCATATCTATTTGGGGCTATTTAGAAAGCTCTTTCTTTGATCCTTTCCTCCTGTCTTCTAGACTCCATCCAAGTATCACTTTTGCCACAAAACAAGTCCTCATGACCAAAAGTGACTTCTTTTTTCTTCAGATTCCATAACACCACAAGTTAACACACTGAGAAATTTTTCACATTTTACCTTTTATTATGTATGCATACTTTTTCCCTTTCTAAGACAGTTCCTTATATATAATGGGTACTAAAGAAATATCTATCATATGAATTAGTTGTAATAAGCAGCGAACTGTTTGATAATGGTGTTAGGTGTAATGTAAAAGAAAACATCCTAATATTCATAACAAATGATGAAATTTGTGTCAGTTGTATACTTTTATCATATGCCCAGTTCCAAATTTATTCTGAGTAGTGCTTCTTGTAATGAGGAAAAATAAAAAATACTTTATAAACTTTGATTTTCAGCATAGCTCATGTGTGAATTCTATTTCTTTAGAACTCTCTACTTTTAGGCTTTAGAGCTGAATAGTCATAAAAGAAAGTGAAAAGAAAATCTGTATATATGATATGGTGGAATCTATTTCTTTTATTCCTTCCATTTAATCTTTTAAAGACATCAAAGGGTAGTATTAGCATCCAACTCACGGTTTTTTATTGGTCGTTTGAAGGAAAACTCTAGGTGAGAGATCGTAGCATAATATGTCTGAATGAGGTGAGAATTAGAATCCTTATTCTATTCCCAGGTGCAATAATAATAATCAGATGATAGTAGCTTGAAAGGTAGTGTTGATAGTAATTAGTACTTATTTTATGCCCTTCATCAAGAAATCATAATACTTTGAAACACTTGCTCATCTGTCCTTTCAAAATACATGTGAAGAACTAATGACAAATAATGAAAGTTTCTTCTAACACAAAGGGTAATTTAGGTATAGAGAGGTAAATCTGTTGCTCCTAATAACAAACTGAATCCATAGTAGAGGCGTGGCAGCGGCCAAGCACCCTGAACTAGAGAGTCAATGGCAGCTGCATATTAGCCAGGACTGCTACTTGTTTTTGTAAATAAAGTTTTATTAGAACATAGCCATACCCGCTTGTTTGCATATTGTTAATGCTTTTACGGATGTTGCCAAATTGAGTATTTGATACAGGGATTGTATTGTCACAAGCCTGAAACACTTA